TGTCTCACTCTACGCTGACATTGCCTACCCTATCTGTCTTTGTCTTTGTGTTCCCTTGTGTCTCCTTTTACTCACAGTTATGTTTACTCCTGTTACTAGGCGTAAAATACGGCGTCAAGCACGCCGAGAAACTGAAGAAATAATAAGAAGAATCAGCACGTGCTGACAGGGAAGGTAAGTCAAGTAGGGGATAAAGTATAGTGGAACGATATGGGCACGGGAAATGCGTATAATAATTATTAATGTGCATGTAGAACGAGAAACAGCAATGAGATAATCTGTCTAGATGGAGAGGCTACCCTGGCATGCTAGCTAGACAACCGGTGGGGATGCAGCGCTGTGGACAAGAGAGGAGCCGACGTTGAGCGAGAGAGAGGGCGAGCGACGACAACGACGGTACGTTGTAGGAGGGGGTGTCCGTGGTAGCAAGAGGAAGGGGCAGCAGCCGTCTTCAGAAGCACGCAGCTACACCGTCACCATCCCAGGTCAGCCCCGAAAAGTGCTACCCGCGACCACCCGTCTAGCCCTCAGCGGCAATAGTGGAGTCGCGACGCCGAGAAGGCGGAATCGAACCGCTCCGACGCCAGTCGGCTACAGGTTTGAAGCCTGCACCCCGGACCACCGAGGTTCATCCCGGCGACCTTGACCTCTTTTAGTTTTTATATGGCCATATTATAAAAAGCAACAAAATTAATTGTTTCAAAAAATAATTTTTTGTTTTAAAAATAGCCTAATTTATTTAACTTTCTAAAAGCAAAATTAAAGTTTATGTAAATTTTTCTTGTTTTTATTGGAATATCTGAAACAACAAAGGCAATATGGCCACCGAGCTATTTCAGTAGCATGCGCGTTTGACATGTAATTTTCGCCATACACGCCTTCCCCCAGTGTCAGCGAGCGGATTTCGCTTCCCACCCTGCCCAACCTCAGTGTTAAAAGGGTTTATCGTCGCCACAAGCTTTCCTTTCGAAGATTACAAGCCATCTACTTCCTCAGAGCAACTTAATGACATTACTTGACAGCCGCAGCACTCAAAACCTGACAATCAAAAGTTATCTGCAACCCTCCTTCCTATGCTTTGGTGCCTACTTAACATAAACAGTCGATCATGCAAGTGCTATGTTGTGAGGCTGATTTCAAAACTTGGAACTCGTCAGATCGTGGGTTCCATGCTCTGTGCGATCCTTGGGAAAGTGGGTCAGCTATCCTTCCACAGAAAACGGCAACACCTGAAACAATTGGTCTTAGTTAATAAGGCCTATTGTCCTCAAACGCCGCCCATACACAAAAACAAGAATGATACTCACAGCCAGGGCAAATCCCTATGTAGGTCTACTTTGTAGGGATAAGTAAAATATCGCTAGCGGTAATTGCGTTGTTTACTACGGAAGTTATTAGCCACCTTTGACATGCATGTCAACACAGTCCAAATTCGGTCAATTGTACATATGAGATTGGTTCCCCTATTTTTTTTACAGCTTTTTCTCTGTTTGTTTTCGCCTTTTTAGGTAATAATGCTATTTATAACTCTTTCAAATAAAAAGCTATTTTTTTAAAAAAAACCAGACTTCCTTATGTCCTGCTTAACGGAAACCAAAATTGGGGTGATTGGAGGAGGGGAGCGAAAATAGATGAGGGTTGGGGTATGGGTTATTTGTAAATAAAGGGACAGGGGGATTCTGTCCGGTTAAAAAACGAATGTAGATTTGTCTGCGAAGATTCTACGAAGACGCTCTGTGCAGAATCTGTGCCGGCAGTCTGTGCAGAATCCATGCGGGTTACGTGGGACAACGTCTATGCAGATTCTGCGCAGATTTGTCTGACCGCCTGCGCAGCTTCTGGACAGAATTGCTATTAGGGTGTCCGTCACTCTACACCACAACACTCACTTAACAGTTTTAGAAACAAAATGACGGTAGCTGAATACACGGCTCAAACGAAAGGTCGCTAAGGAATGCCGTCCCGCAGCTGCATAGCGCCGTATCGCGACTTTTCGCCATTGCTTCCATAGCGACCATATGGACAAAATCCGCTATAAATCGGTCATTGTATCGCGACTTTTCCACAGCGAGGCGCCGTCACCTCGAACATTGCAACTTGGCTTGGCTGTTTCACACAGATAAAGCGACCTCAGGACGCCGAAGCGATTGGGATCCTCTTTTAAATTACACTTTCCAACCCTCAGTAGGTGCATGGTAAGGGTCCGAAAGCGAGAACGTAAGGGCGAATAGGACACTTTGGGTTCGCAGCTATTTTCCTCGGGTCAAACAAGCCGTGGAATGGGGGGATATTTGTTACGGTTAGTCCTCGCTGTCGCCAGCGCGGACACTCGCCCGTGGCACTTCCAGTCCCCCGAACCCTCCCCTGCCAAACGATTGGATGGGCCGCGCTAGACCTGCTAACAGCGTGGCCAGCTCTTGAGGCCAATAGGCGCTGGGTCCTTTGTTCGGTGGCTCCAGGAGGATAAACTGGCGTACGCGTACGCTTCGCGCCGAGCCTAGCAACCTCGACAATGGTTATCCAACTGAAAAGAATGCCGGCTACAACCGTCCCCAACGCGTTCCCCCTCCTGAGCACTGTCGATCTTCGCCCCTTGTGACGGACGGTCTGTCACGCATGAGCCGTCAACACTGTTGTTGGGATAATTGTTTGGTAATCTCCCTCCCCGGTGTCGTCTGCCCCGGCGCCTCCTGAGACTACTCGTCCCGCTCAGGCAGAGCTGATGGCGGCCCCTCAGTCTCTTCACTAACTCTGGGCAGTAACTCGCGACTACTGTTGGTCGCCTTCTGAGGAGAGTCGGACCTACTCCAACTTGAGTATGTGACGTTGTTGTGTTGAAAAGACCGTGCCCTGTGTTTCAATGTCAATATTCCTCATTTCCCAGAATGTCCCGTTATCCACCTCCAGAGAGCTTTGGATAAGTGCATTCATAACACGTATTAAGAGAACCTGGTGATGCTTGAGCGAAGGATATCTCGGAGCCGGGGCAGAGATCTAGGCAACTGCCCCAGTAGAGGCCGTTCGCAGGACTGATTCTACACACAAGCGACATGTATCGGCCTTGAGGGTCACTGATACAAACGTGTACAATTGTGAAGCTCTCTACCGAAACTAATACACGTACAATGCACCAGCAAGACGAAGGGTATGTATGTCAGAAGGGGTATATTCAAGACCTGGCGTCCGCAACGTCAAACTCAACTGCCAATCCCGAGAGTCACGTCTTCTCGAGCGACTGCGAGTTGGCGTCATGTGCGTTAATATACACTACATATAAGTGCAGTCCCATTTCAGTGCAGCTAGGAAGGATAAGAAAGCTGCAGAGGGCGTTGCAGCCGACTCAGTTCATCATCGCGACGAGTTGCCTGCGGTCTACGCGATTCTACGAGACGACCTATCGGGTGACCACGCCTGCACAGAAGCCGCGCGATACTCAAAATCGTCAGACCTTTCAGCCTAGCACAAAATGGCAACCAGGGACGCATGACTCAACCGGGGAGACACGGGCCACGGAGTAGGCAATGAAGGCAGCAATATAAGCAGCACAAATGGCGCAAGCAACCCACATATGCTGTACGACTCTCTCGGTATCCGCATTCATTGTTCGCGACTTCAAACCTGGTCAATACAGTCTCTTATCCTGTGGCAGCCGATGTCGTGTCCACATTACCGCCCAAAATTTTGAGATTCATGCAAAGTTCCGGACAATAGAATGAGCATCGACTGGCGATCCAAATTTACCATTCTAGCTCAAACAATATTAACATGCAAAAATTGAGTTGGACACTGATACAGGGACAGATGGGGTAGACACTTAGGTCGCGACGCCAACGCGGTCAACCAGCACAGCTAGTTTGTCGTAACTTATCCCCTTTTGACTCCACACAGAAAGACTAAGCATAGCGCGGAGAACATATGCTCGCGAACTAAATGGGTCGAAACCGCTTAAGGCTAGGATGACATTTCAGTCCGAACATCAGAACCATCCGGACGGACTGCTTTACTCCACATCTACCTCTGGAACCGGCGATTAACCCAACAGGCAACACGTAGGCGAATGTTGTCACAAAAAAACCTCTCTGATGACGCTGTTGGGATCTGCCTAACCGTGTGACACAACGTTGTGATACACCCGATCCATACTGTCGCAGGATCCAGAAAAACCCCGCTCTGTACCAGGAACGTATAGTAACGCGCTGCCCTCGGGTACGTTTGACAAGGCCACAAACACCACTTTGAGCGTGCTCGGCCCACTCTTCGCGGACAGCCTGACATGCAATCAGTCAGAAGCAGCAAGGCAGTCTCCAAAATCTGTGCTCGCATAGCTCACAGGGGTCCAGTTAATGTTCGCTTAAGGATGCAAAGGATGCGGGTGGGACAATGACTCAGGCGGCAAGGAAACGTGGTTGCCGTTGACTAGGGCAGGGCAGACAGTGCGGTACGAAGCATGCGGAGAAATTAAGTTCAAACGCAGTGGTGATCCTCACGCCCCTAACGATCTGGCAATCACCAACATTCTGTCCAAAGTTCGCCTTCTTGTCCTCCAATTTGTGCTCAGCTATTACCAAAGCTGGTGACCTCCAGTCGTCAGGCTTTAAAGTCGGTTTTGCGGACTGTTCTTACGAGGTGTCGATTCCGAGAAAGTATGTACCAGAAGTCGACTAGCGCCTTAGAGGAAGTGACAATTAACCAATGTGATCTCCTTATGGTGCAAGGACGACAGCGCCTTCCCTTACAACCACAAAACTGCACCTAACCCCAAGATGAGAAACGCGCATTTCACATGCTGTCGGTTAACTAGAGCAAATATCAGACAGGATTCCGACGTCGGGTTGAACACAGTATCCAATAAATGAAAATCGTCCGCGCTGAGGCCCAAACCAACTGTAAATTGAGTCCTTAGGCGGCGAGATAGCCATTCGGAGAAGATAATCCGAAAAGAGGGGGTGAAAAACTAAAAGCTAATCAAATTAATCTTTATACAAAAAACCAACAAAGTGTCAAAAGCGTTTTCTCTTTCCACCCTTTCGTCCAGACTTCTTGGGCCGTTTTTTATGTTTGTTCTTTTTCTAAAACAATGTGTAATTAGCTTACAGATGCGATACCTTTGGAAAAGGAGCTCGTAGGTCAGCCTCATCGTCGGACTGCAAAGAAAAGGGCAAAACGCGAAAATTAGAAATAACTGTTGATTAAGCAATTAAAATGAAGGCTATTGCAAAAAATGGTTCCCAGCACGAGGCGGGTGAGAGCAAATCGGAGAAGATGCCAGTTGGCCGAAAGGCAGCAAAATCTGCATACAGCGCCCAGTCAGAGTTATCGATTTCCCAATACCGCGGTTCGGGGATTGGCGCGGTGGTCGGCGGAATTCGCAATTATCAGATAGGTTGGCGAAATTTCCTCCACTCCTAGGGAGGCGCAGAGTGCTTATGTGGTGTCAACAGTTCTGATTTGTGATGTGTCAATTTCTACAACGCGTGACGTCCACAGACGAGCAGAAGATTCGACGACCTGTACAGAAGGCAGTCTGCCTCTGCCGTCAACAACGAGAAACACCAATGGCCCCAAGAGGACACAGTGGTAACTTATGTGTGTGGATATGTTTTCAATGAAGGGCACTTTTATGGCATCAGTCTCACGCCAAATGTGTTCTGGCGGCAGATGGAGAGGTGGCTCACGCGGCTGCCGCATACGACCGGGACCCGAGCAACGCATGAACCAGGTTTCAAATCTCACATAAACGGACACCATAACAGCCACATTTACAGTGAGTGACCGATCTCACGAAATGTTGGCTGAAATTCTGAAATGCGTTTTCGATTAGGAAGGATTACTTAGGCGCGGTTGTAATACTGATTATCTTGTGGCATAATCTTATAACATTTCGGACTCGGCAGGATGTCAGCTTTTGAATACACTGCTTTTCAATCTCTTGTAGAAACCGTACTCGGTAAAAAAAAGTACTACTTAAGTAGCATGCATTTTCCCCATTGATATTCGGTGGTCATGCAAATTAAAATATATTTTAGAGAAAGCACGGAGAAAAATATGTTTCCCTTCAGTCGTTTGATAGAGAATCGCGTCATATATATATTTCATACTCGAAGAAGGAGTATAATTAGGCTTTAAAAGAGTTTCCCAATTGCCGAATAATTTGGAGCCTGATCATTCGTTGCACTAGCGATAAGTGACTTCAATCTACAAGGTGAATGCCTTCCGCGAAAAGAAAATCACACACTCTTCTAGGCCTTTAAAAAGATATCATATAGAGTTCATAAAATTGTTCAGTGGATGCGGACTATGTTGCGCATTTCATGAGGAGCAGTGGCAAACGTATAGGTACGATGCCGTATGAATGGACATTGCACGGTTTTAAAAAATCTCATAATTAGAAACTTTTTTAAAACCTAAGGATACTCCTTTCTTGAGTATGAAATATAAAGAAGACGTGATTCTCTATCAGACGACTGAATGAAAGCGTATTTTTGTTTATGGTTTCTACAAGGTATATTTGAATTTGCATGACCACCGAATATCAATGGGGAAAATGCATGCTACTTAAGTAGTCATTTTTTGCCGAGTACGGTTTCTACAGGAGATTGGAAGGCAGTGTATTTAAAAGCTGACATCCTGTCGGGTCCGAGATAGTATAGGATTATGCCACAAGATAATCAGTATTACAACCGCGCCTAAGTAATCCTTCCTAATCGAAAACGCATTTCGGAATTTCAGTCAACGTTTCATGAGATCGGTCACTCACTGTAGGAACCATTGCCTGTGACAGTCCGACAGACGGCAGTTTGCCTCTGCCGTCAACAACGAGAAACACCAATGTCCCCAAGAGGACACAGTGGTAACTTATGTGTGTGGATGTGTTTTCAATGAAGGGCACTTTTATGGCATCAGTCTCACGCCAACTGTGCTCTGGCGGCAGATGGGGAGGTGGCTCACGCGGCTGCCGCATACGACCTGGACCCGAACCAGGTTCCAGATCCCACATAAACGAACACCATTTAGGAACCATTGCCTGTGACAGTCCGGTGGGCCGAGACGCTGTCTCCGACAGTTCAGTCACTTTCAACTGAGTGAGCAAGTTTGCCATGGCAAACCTTAGATAACAAGTACGCGGTCCCAGAGGCCCAAGTTACACATCATCCGCCATTCTAAATTAGTGGTCGAGCCTTATTTTCGAAGTTAAAGTGCGTTCACACGGCATCACGTTTTTTGGATAAGAAAAAAGGCTTCAAAAGGATGGACCAACTCTGAGTTGAGCTCATCTCAGAAAGAAACAATATGACTACGCAAAAATATGGAAAGTCAATCACATGCGTTATCGTACTTTGTTAAGTTACCTCATTCATTTGAGGCGAACAAAATTTCACCTTATCCCAGTAAGGAATCTTTTCCGATCTCTAATAAATCGTTGCCCATAGCAATACGCCTTGGTGAGGTGTAAAGGAGTGGAGATGTATCCTCCTCCTACCCCTGAGTAACTGAATTTTAAAATGAACCTGCGTCATTCAGATAGACACCCTATCAAAAGGTTCATGTTCAGAGGCGGTTTTTCGAATCTCAAATATTTGCATAAAGATCTGCGCAGACAACGACTATCCCCAGTGATGATGACTGAACTCAGCAAATTCCAGCCGCTTTCGCACATTCACAATTACTGCCATGGTGCTGAAAGGAAGCGAGCAAAGGCGATGTGAACACAGCGCATCCTTCTCTTCACGAGATCCTCGGATTTTTTAGTCCAGCCTTGTAGTTCGAATTCGTACGAAAAGATGCCAGCGGCGTGAGCAGACGAGGTGACCGGCGGAGGAAATAACTGCTGCATGATGAGGGTTAACATTATAATGGGGTTGTGCCGGGAGACTACGTAAAATAAATGTGTCAATGCATTAATGATTATTGTATCGTCTTTCGTGTGAAAACCAAAACCCCGTAACACGTAGAAATCGGCAACTTCAGACATTTCCTAGGGCCAAGTGAAGTGCCGCTCTATATTCACCAGGAAAGACACAATCCTACTCCTTTCCAACTGCAAGAGAACAGATTTTTAATAGGTTATTCTGGCAAATCTGAACTATTTAGCCGATTCACTTGTGAAAAAAAACACCGCGGTCTTGATCGGGGCCTTTTATCTCAGGAGGCCAGAACGTTGACTGTACTCAAGCTTCGCCCGCCGAGGTCACCGAGGTCTTCATAACTGCGTAAGCTGCATTTATTTTTATTTTAGATGCCTGAGACACTGTGCACAGGTCAACTCTAGTGAGGGCAGAAGCATTTATTGGCGCCTGGTGACTTGATACTCAGCAAGCAGTGCAGCCTGCACCTATGTTCGGCTTGCCCATTCATCAGTTGAGTCCGGAAGTGTCAGTCGAAGCGAACGCCGTGGCGTTAGCCAAATCAGCGCTGCACAACTTGCCCAGGCATGGTGGCTTGAGAGTTTTAAACGTCGGGTTCTCCAGTCTTCAGATCAGCATTTTCTGAACTCGTGGAGCGCGCAAGCGAACACTGTTTGCAGTGTCAGTGTCAGTGGGCTAAATGACCGAGTGATTATCGTGCCAACACCCAACACTGGTGATAAAACTGAGGCGATAAACGACTCGAATGTCGTCCATCAAAGAATTATCGCACCAAGGGCAACTATCTTCGACAAAGGAGAGAGGCGTTAACTGTTATAGGTAGCATGGCGACTGAACCCTACAAATACTACGACCCCTTGTGTATGAATTGATCGCATCTAATGCTGTCTATGATGATGACTTCGAGCATGAATTCGAAACATCCGGCTAATAAAGTCCTTGTTTCAGTGATCTTGTCTATTTCTCAAGTTCCTGAACTCGTATTTTCATGGATATTCCCCATTCTACCTTCGGAAAGGTATCCAGCCTGAACGAAAGAGAGGGTGGTGATTCACAAATATCCCGCTGCAACGTTGTCATCGACATTCATTGTGTCTTTCTGAAGACGGGTATGAAAGCAGTATTTAAATCATTAATTCAGAAGAACAGAACGACTAAGCGCAAGAGAAACTGAATTTCCAACTACGAATAAAAGTTCCGTTTACCAAGTGTACTATTGGATGCATGGAGGCCCATTGTTTTGGAAGTGAGAAAGTACCGCGGCTTGGCGCTTGAGATCTTGCGTACTGATTATACTGCCACATATCTACGACTTACTCAGAAGCGATAAGCATCCTTATGCATCATATCTCCCTCCGACCATTTGGCTAACCACACTAACAGACATTTAACGGATAATCCTCTGGTCTAGTTCGAAAACAACCGTTACCTCCGATGTTATTAAAAAAAGTCCAAAGACCACCGACTCGCAAAGTTTGCGCGACTGCGTTAGTGACAGAGGGACAGAATATGAAAAAAGGCCGAGCTTTGGAGGAGTATTTAAGTGCCATAAGCCCTAGGTAATCGATGGCAAAACACGGAACTCAACTCATCGCTGTCGGACTGTTGCAGTACCGGCGGAAGGATCTTATCAGATTTTAAAGGAAGAAGACGGAACACTTGGCACGGATGACAAAACCGTGCTGCAGATCACAGTACGCTGTTTCAGGCTGACTAAGGCACTGTGACCCAGAAACACGTAAATTGAGGTAACTATCGCCCTTTGCTTTGGTATCCTTGGCGCCTTTAAATCATACGCGGCAACCTTCAAACTTACACTCTCAAGGAGCTTCCTAATGTGGTTGATGCGTGTATTGCTGTCCAGAAATTCACCCCTCGCCATTCGCCTCTCCAGAAGACGTTCCCGTTTTGTAGGAGGCAAGCGCGTAAAGTTCTCCTCTTCGTACCTTAAAATAGGGAATAAACAAACCAATGCAAAAGCTTACCTTTCCTTCTCTCGCATCTTCTTGAGAAATTTTGCATCACTAATAGACGAACCATACTATGATGTAGAAAAGGAGAGGGGGAGGTGACCCACTTAAAATCCACCTACATAAACTTCTACGGGTAGATCCTCGTCCTCGTTTATATTGGTATCCTCGAGCAGCAGCTTAGCAGCCCGGACCTTTTCTCGGGAACGCCGCTTATTAATAGCGGAGGGATCTTGGTCTAGAAGAGTTAACTGATACTCCCTCGCTTACCATAAAATACGGGGTTAAGGCGAAGTGGACGATAGATGTCAGAAGACTTCGAAACTCCGGTGTTGGACTTCGTTACATCCGTGCTATCGTCGCGGCCGCTGTCCTCGAGTATGCTCTGTTTTAATATGCCTCCTGCGTAGAAGCTATGATTACCACAAAGTTTCCAAGCATCGGTTTGCAGTCTGGCACATCCATATCCGGAAATGGTATTTTTGGGTTTTAAAACTACTTTGCTGACGCCAGGACGCTGGAAAAAAGACAGTTCAAACGCTGAAGGAAAACCCCTGTCTATGCCAATTAAATATGATAAGCCATCTGGGATTGCCGTAAAAATCTGCGAAATTGTCAGCCAACTAGATTCACAAGACACAGCTGAGTAGGTCTGTACAGTTCACACAGGCCGATGAGTTCATTTGGGAAGTCGAAACCGCTCGCAGCCATGTTTCATAGCGGTTTGTCGAGCTTCGTACGATCATCGTCAAAGCATGATGGCAAAACTGGTTAAGCATTAGTATGAAATCTTGTTGAAGGGCCCTGACATTTCATCGCTCGGAAACCCGAAAGATAGTCCAAACACAAGTCCTAGAAGCTGCGCTCGTCAAGCTGGTCTGATAATAAGACAAAGTGTATTTTACTTTGTCCCACTCAGGACAGAACCAGGATTGGAGCATTTGAGAAGTCTAAAGCTCAGACCATCGAACTACTGATCCAACAGCTACCAGCCTCAAACAGGAAAAGTGATAGTGTGGGAAGATTGCGTTCAATTGCGTAGCTTTTATTTTTACAATATATAACCCATCTGTTTTGCGCTGGATCTCGGGCTGGATTTCTCAAACCCTGGTAAAAAGTGCACCAGCAAAGGTTGGACGTTTTTTCCGAGTAACAGGACATTTTAGAAATAGGACAAGGACGGATTAAAAGGTAACGACAGTTTATTGTAAATCAGGCAGCAAGAGAACCCAAGAAGTGATGTCCGTGTCGAAGAGTAGTGACGAAAAGACCGTTGAGATGTAGAAGGTTCCCTTTCAGTGCGAATGTTATGCCGCATGTGGCCATTTGGGAAACCAGCGCATACAAGCTCGACGTTTACGCGAACATACGAAAGTGACGTTATCCTTAATAATAGGGCAGAAGTACCAAAAAAAACCAACTGGCTCTACTGACTATTGCCGTCCTACACCGCTTAGTGCTCAAAATGACGTTTTCGACATCCGATAAAATATCCTGACGGATTGACTATTTGAAAAGTCCGGATACTATTTTGGCACTATTCAGATACGGAGAGGACAGTCTAGTACAGCACCCCTGGCACATTTCAGGCTGAGGTTCTAAAGACGTCAGAAGTATAGCGCAAACCCATGCGGCGGAAATAGCATCCACTGTGTCCGAAATTCGCCTTAATATTTCATGCAAGGAGGGCACTGACAAACTTAGGCTAAGTGAGTTCAAAGGCTATCTAGGTTCGGCTGACAAAGATGTATGAAAACGCCTACATAAGAGGTGCCACAAACGTGAGTTTCCTCTTCACTCAGATAGGAATGACTGGTTCGGTAAGTTTTTTCAAGCATACATATCTAACAATGAGATTCAGCGATGTCTTACTTTTTTGTCACTATTTAAGATGGTTAGGAACCACACCTTAAAGGAGCTAATGGAATTTGCAAGGGTCACGTCACTTGCAAGTCCAGAGGGAATTCTCAAGAAATGCGTTAGTGAATAAGCACTTTTTGGATTCTGACTTGTATTTCGTAAACGCCATAATAAGCTTTGAATCGCGATAGCGAGGACGGCTAAGATACAGGACCGACCAGGGCGGTGTCACCTACGCATGTCTGACGGACGCCTATTACGGCGATCAATGCCTACTCATACCGAAGCTGCTGCCGAGAGTGGAAAAGAAAGTGGTCGGGTGACATTGATTATGAGGTTTGAAGGTCTCACCCCCATCAGACATGTTAGGGCAAAAGCAACTGGCTGACTACCGAAGTTCGTTAAAAACGCTGTCAAACGCCAATTAAGAACAAAAAAATTGCATAAGGCTAGAACAGGAAAATCAAGAAGGCCTACTTAACTGATCAGCGCACATATTTACCTTGAGCTGTGAACAACGGGAACAACGGTGGTATTGCAAGCACGAAAGTCCGGGTCAGATACGGGTTGTATTAAACATACACTTCGCGGCTGCGCAGTATCGGGCCGGGAACAAGAAACCACCAAAACACCAAGAAATTATAAACTAACTCAGGAAAGTTAAACAAACCGAAAGAAGAAAGCGAATAATGCAAACAAATGCAGAATGTCAAAGATTACCTTTAATTAAATGGAAAACGTACGACATCAAA